TAAGGTAAGTATAACTTATTTTGTGCCAGTAACATTATACATTAAGTATAAAAACATATATGTATATGTGTGTGTGTGTGTGTGTGTGTGTGTGTATGTGTGTGTGTGAGATCGTGAGATCGTGAGACATTATATATATATATAATTTAGATCCAGTTAGACGACCTTAATTAGGTGAGATCGTGAAATTCTATCCTGATCATTCCCTTTTTTAATTTAATGGTTCAGATTTGAAGTGATTTTTAGTGTTTGCATGTTTAATATGTTTTGGAGCTATGTAGTAATTTCACATAGTCATTAATTAATTACCAATTTTAATACCGAGATATTCTAGGTATTTTATATGGTTGGAAAATTGAAATAAGTAATGAGATGCATATTGATCTATCATTTCCTTGGAAGATCTTGGACTCACGTAATATTGTAATTATTGTAAAAATTGAAATAAGTAATGAGATGCACATTGATTTATGGTAATTATTGTATGCCATGTAATACTAAAATTATTAGGTAGAATATTTATAATTAATCTATAATATTATTAAATCGAAATTATTAAAAATATATAAATTGACATTAAGAAAAACCTTATTAATTCTGAATATTAAAACTATATATTTAAAATAATATATTTAGATGAAGTTGAAGTTATAAATAATTAAGTTTCAATAAATTTATTTATTTTTTAAATTATATATGGTTAATAATGAATATTTTTCTATATTAGATTATGCTTATATATGGTTTACCCATATTAACCATCACTATATTAGATTAATATATAATTTTTTAATATAATATATTATTAAATCTAAACATATGATTAATATTTATTCAATATTATTACGGAAGTATTACAATTATAAATTTCACTTCGTATTAAATTTTAAATGGCTTAGTATATCGAAGCAAACATGGTAAGTCAATAACATTATTTTATATTAGTAAAGTGATTTTATATCAAGGAATGTCAGATGAAGAATAAAATCAAAATAATACTCTATTAAAAAAAGTCACAGTACTTAATCATTTTTTTCCTAAAAAAAAAAATTAAATGGCAAGAAAAACGTCTTGAAGGGAGAGACAAACTATTCTCTTATTACAAAAGAAAAAATGTACACTTTAAAAACGGAGAAATTGAATCGAAACAAAGTCCAACGCTTTGATATATTGACAACTAAAAAATGCTTTTAATTTCATTTTGTTTTTTATTGTATTCTTAGTATGCTTCCCTCTGTAAGTCTATATCTATTTACATATACACATAATTCGTCCCTCGATCACAAAACTTTATCATCTTGATGAGCAAGGAACTCTATTGCTTCCCGATCAATCTTTATAGATCCGTATCTTCTCCACAAAAATAGACAAACAAAAAAAAAAATATCAACATTTTTTGTTGCGAACCACTTTTGTTGTTTAAAAATCATAAAATACAAAAAAAAACAAAAAAAAACAAAAAAAAAACAAAAAAAAAAAACAAAACAAAACAAAACCCAAAAGGAAGAAAAAATAAAAGAAACTAAGATATGAAAACCTCACCAATGCAAATCACGTATCAACCTCAACTGTGGAAGATCACAGGATGATTAGAACTCTATTTCTTCCCGATCAATCTTTCTAGATCCGTATCTTCTCCACAAAAATAGACCAAAAAAAAAAGAATATATCAACATTTTTTTCTTACGAACCACTTTTGTTGTTTAAAAATCAGAAAATACAAAAAAATAAAAACAAAACAAAACCCAAAAAGAAGAAAAAATAAAAGAAACTAAGATAATGAAAATCTCACCAGTGCAAATCACGTATCAACCTCAAATGTGGAAGATCACAGGATGATTAACAAAAGTCAATTAAATAATTAACCTTATAAGTTGGGGTTGTGTATGGTCATATAAGGTGTATTTATACACAATAGATGAGATCAAAAGGGTTTAGTAATGAAATTATAAAATGGTAAGAGATCTCAAGAAAGGTAAAATCTTTAATTAATATATATATATATATATATATATATATATATATATATATATATATATATATATATATATATATATATATAGAAAGCTGTTCAGATGTGCATTCATATTATCATGTGCATTTGTGCACCATATCTAGCCGTGCATTTTGTTTGATCAGTGGTCATTCTTGGGGGTGCACGGTAGCCGAATGCACTGCCAACTACACAAGCAGTTGCACTTGAAGCCGGCTAACACACCAACATTAACGCAAAACACATCCCCCAACCCGCACGCGTAGCGAAATTACCCTCCAGATCGACGAGTCAATTGCAAAGGTGCCCTCCACTCTCCGGCGAAGCCTGCGTTGCACTGCCAACTACACAAGCAGTTGCACTTGAAGCCGGCTAACACACCAACATTAACGCAAAACACATCCCCCAACCCGCACGCGTAGCGAAATTACCCTCCAGCTCGACGAGTCAATTGCAAAGGTGCCCTACACAAGCAGTTGCACTTGAAGCCGGCTAACACACCAACATTAACGCAAAACACATCCCCCAACCCGCACGCGTAGTGAAATTACCCTCCAGATCGACGAGTCAATTGCAAAGGTGCCCTCCACTCTCCGGCGAAGCCTGCGTTGCACTGCCAACTACACAAGCAGTTGCACTTGAAGTCGGCTAACACACCAACATTAACGCAAAACACATCCCCCAACCCGCACGCGTAGCGAAATTACCCTCCAGCTCGACGAGTCAATTGCAAAGGTGCCCTCCACTCTCCGGCGAAGCCTGCGTTCCCGACCGCCTGATGACTCGATCGAGTGGTAGGCCGAGGCGGCAATTGGCGCCTGAGACTCCGCCGTCGCATGGGTTGCGCAGGGTGGTGTCGGGGTCCTGGGCACATAGACGGCGTCCTAGTCTCCGTCTGTCGAATTCGACGGCGGTGGGGGGTGTCGGCAGGACTTCTTTCGGGATAGCTTCTAGGGTTGCTGCCAGGCATCAGGGGTCGTACCGCTCGGATGTGGCAGGTGAGTATGATCCGAATCTTTTGCACTTTAATTACCTCAAGTGCTTCTGCTTTTTTATTGTTGGAAGTGCTTGTGCTTCAGTATTACGTATAAGCTTCAGCAAATCCTCTCCACAGCCTGTTAGTTTTACACATTAAGGATATCTTGTAAGGCTCTGCACTTTACACTTTTGATAGTTTCCAGAATCCTGAATGCAACATTCCCTGTAAAACTACAGAAGTTTAAATCTCAAACTTTAATTAAGTGCAATCATCCAACGAAGATATACCATAGCTCATAATCTTTTTTACTGTTCAAGTCAAGATTGTGAAATTACAGACATCAGGACTATATACTGCTCATCTTTGAACTTTGCTACCCTAGATAATGCCTCACATCACAAAGATTGAGGATAACAAAGTTAAAAATTCGCAGATTGCACTTGAGATTTCTTGTTACATGGAAGAGAGAATAAGAATTTTAGTTCTGTTTGGTCTATCTTTCTTCCACTTGGGCAATTTTCATTGCTAGATATGAAGGAAAAGTCAAAGGTGTATTGTGCCTTTTTAGTTTTCTCAATTCTGTGGTTATTCTGTGGTTGTTGCAATGATGGTTAGTTTAACTGTTATTATTATCTGTTTATGATCATTTTGAAGCTTTATTTTTTAGAACGTCCTAACTAATGTTTTGATTGCACTTCATACTTGAAGTCGGGAACTTCGATGCTGTAACTGGTTATGCATGATTGGCTTGGTTAGTTTAGGGTGGTCTAATTAGCTAAAAACTTGGGAACGTCCTTTTCCCTTTGTTGCTTCCTGCAAACCTTGAACGTGCAACATGCCCAATTGGCCACCCAACCAAGAATGGAAGCCTTTTCTTTTTCACTGTTTATCTTCAGATCTGGCCTGCATTCATGTCTATCTATATACACAATAATTACAATCCTTTAGGTTCAAGTGTCTATCTGCATTCACTGCCCCCATGGCCAGGTAAGGTTCGAATGTTCAAATTACTTCAATTTTGTTGGTTTAATTTGCTTTAATTTGCTGGTTTAATTTATGTTCATGTTCAATTCTTACCCAGTTACCCTAAATCCTAATTTGATTTTTGTTTCCCCTCTTACCCTAAATCCTAATTTGATTTAATTTTGGCATAATCTGATAATTTTTGATTTAGCTATCTCAATATTAAAGCTGCACTATTAAAGCTCATTGTGAATTTGTGATTATGTAAACTAGAATGTGGTTAATTATCTAGAATGTGTTTAATTATCTAGAATGTAAGCTGCACTGCAATTTGCACTGTAGTTTGGCAGTTGGCACTGCAATTTGCATCTAGAATGTGTTTAATTAATATGCACTGCAATTAATATGCACTGCAATTTGCATCTAGAATGTAAGCTATCTCAATATGCACTGCAATTTGCATCTAGGATGTGTTTAATTAATATACTTGGCAGTTGGCACTGCAATTTGCAATGTTTGGTAACAATTGTGACTATTACGAATTTATGATTGCCTATGTTCAAGCTACACATTCTAGATATTGCTACTGTGCTGGCAGTTGGCACTGCACTGCAATTTGCAATGTTCAAGCTGCATTATTAAAGCAAAAATCATGAATTAATATCTTATTCGTTTGTTGGATGCATCTAGAATGTAAGCTATCCCAATATACACTGCAATTTGCATCTAGAATGTGTTTAATTAATATACTTGGCAGGTGGCGCTGCAATTTGTAATGTTTGGTAACAATTGTGACTATTATGAATTTATGATTGCCTATGTTCAAGCTACACATTCTAGATATTCAGTTGGCATTGCACTGCAATTTGCAATGTTCAAGCTGCATTATTAAAGCAAAAATCATGAATTAATATCTTATTCGTTTGTTGGAAATTTGGTTCAGTTATGGAAAATTTTTTTAAAAGAAAATCAACTTTTGAGGGTTCATCTAGTGAGGGTAGTCCCGAAGTGTCAAGTGCAAGGCCTCGTATTGAATTTAACATAGATGAACTTGAAAGAGCGTAGAGGAATATTATCCCGTAGTTCATCATAAACCTTGTATTGTTATTTATAATGTATTTTGTATTTTAATTATCTTATGTGTATTTGAACTTTGTATTTGAACATTTTTGAATTTATTTTTCCTTTGCTTCTTTGCCCCCACTGAAGAAAAATCCTGGGTCCGCCACTGCCATAATATATTCTGTTAGGTTCAGAAGAAACCTTGGACTTAATTGGATCTTATGTTATATTTAAATATGTTTAGAGGTTTTAATGAGTAATTTGTACTTGAAGAGGACGGGTACAGTGTTTGACATCCTGGATTAAATAATAATGTAAGTAGTCAACGAAACAACATGTGTTGTTATGAGACCATAAAGATAGTCTGCAACAACCTAACCATGTGCCCTGCTCCCTTATAATTTAAATATATTTTTGTATTAAACAGTACAATTTTAGTTCATCTTTAGCTAAAAGGTCGTTTTTGCTTTTTTTTTATTCTGTTTTTTTATTTTATTTTATTTCTATAATGAATTCCAAATTGCATTCTGGTTGTTCAAGTCTCATTTGCTACAGTCACCGTGTTATATGTGTACTACCCATGTTTTTGTGTGTGGTGCCGCAGGTGGTGACGCCCGACAACCGATCATGTTGAGTGACGACAACAGCGATGCAGACGTGGAGTACCACACCTCCCCGTGTGAACCAGAAGAGGAAGAGCACGCAGAACCAGCAGAGGAAGAACACGGTGGACCGATGAGCACCCCCACGCATGAACAGGTACAGGAGGGGGGTGCAGGCCCGTTACCCCAGATCAAGACACGGGGGGATCCGAGGGAACTCGTGCGCCTGGTAACATCACTGACGCCACGACAGAAACAAGATGTTATTGCGATGGGCATGGGGGGGCTGCTGGGCCTCCGGGCAAAGGTATTACCCTCACGGATCGGGTATTGGGTGGCGAAAAACTATGACCCCGGACAAATGGTCTTGGAGTTGGGTTACGGGAGGAAGATAAGTGTCACGAACGAAGATGTGGCGAGTGTGCTTGGGCTCCCAAATGGGACTATTACGATGTCTGAGCGCGATACCCACGTAGTGGGCCCCGACTTGAAGGCATGGCGAAGTAATGTTAAGAAGCGGAAGGGAAATATCACAGTGAAAGCTCTGACTACGAGGGTGTTAACTCACACAAACGGTGGGATTTGGTTTAAACGACATTTCTGCGTGATAGTAGCAAGCACCCTCGTTGCAAGCACTTTGAATGGGTATGCGAATCAAAGAACCGTTCACATGTTTAATGATGTGAAAATGATTAAGGAGCTGGATTGGTGTGGGTATCTGCTTCGCTCGCTGGCAAAAACCCATGCTAGGTGGTCTCTGAACACTCGGGGGAAATTTCCAGGCCCGTTACTATTCTTGATTGTAAGTTATGTATCTCGTACGACTCATGGATGAATGTGTTGTTTGTTAGATGTGTTTTAATGTGTGTAAATGTTGTGGTGCAGCTCTTATATGTTGACAGGGTCATTGTAGGCGCAAGGGATGTCCCACGAACCACCCCGGTGTCGCATGGGTGGACTTCCAAGGGGTTAGAAGCACGGGAGGAACGCGAGGTTGCAGCGGGGGGGTTTGGCAACGGGCTGGTGGATGCACCGTTGCATCAATCACCACCGCGGCCACCGCGTCAGACTACTAGAAGGACTCCACTCGCCAGTCAACCACACGGTGCCTCACTCCAGGTGCGTTCACAAGTCCACATTAGCTCAATGGCAAACACCCTCGTACACAGGGGGTTATAATAACACCCTCACTAATAACATTGTAATGCACGCGCAGGATGGACCACAGACTCGTGCACCACCTCCGCCTACCGCACGTCCAACGTCTGCAGGGGATGCCTCACACGGACGACATGATCTGGGTGCATCGACCTCACGGCCTCAGTCCTCTAGCCGGCTAGGGGGTAACCACGTTCTTTCTGACCGTACTCCGGGTGAAACGATGGTATGCATAATCATTGGACTAATGGGGGTGGCATGTGGGTGGGGTGTTTTAACTTGTGGTCACATGCAGGGGCTTGCCCAGGGGTTCACAAACATGGCAACAGACCTTCGTTCTCTAGCTGTGAGGGTTGCAGAGGAGGTCCGCAGGAATCCTAGCGAGGCTCACGAGTATCACGACTTCCAACAAATCATCGATGTAGCGGGTATACTGGCTCCCCTAATCGCGGAGCACTCAAAGGGAGCACCTCACCATACGCCGGAAGTAACGCATGCACCCTTGGAGGATGCGGTGTGGCAGAGTACACAGTTTTTTAGGCAGTTGGACCGAGTAGAAGAGGAAGCCACGCGGGCTAGAGCATTGCCAACTATGCAGGTTCGGGGGGTGCTATATTGGTTTGGGAAGTGTATTGTGGCAGTAGAACCTATTTTTTTCTAAACGGGTGTGCTGCTAATGTGGGGGTCCTATTATTTTGTGCAGACACCGCACGGGGGGGGGGGGGGGGGGGGGGGGGGGGGGCTCCACCACGACAATGACGGAGTGGGACGCACCGAGCTTTAGTCTGGGAATGACGCAAGAACTAGCACTGCTGGTGGGGGATACGGCTGGTGTGATTACACCAACTGTCCAGGTTTGTCATGGTACCTCAAAGATGGTGGGTGTTTGATAGCTGTGATACCAAGTAACACCGTGTTACTTTAGGTATTTTCCCTAAGTAGTGGATTTCAACTCAAATGGCGAAGGGATAATTGGTTATGATAATATCTTGCTGGCTTTATCATTCATTAGGTTTTAGCAAATTTTACAAATATAGAAGTGTGGGTTTTATAGATGTAATCCACCAGCCATTCATTAGCAGCAAAAGAATAATTTCTTGATGCTTCTACTTTATTAGAATTTGCTGTCTTAGATAAACTAAGAATGAATGAAATAGTTAAATTAGATGAAAGCATCTATGCTGCAGATCTATGGTGGTTAGGTATAGGAAATTGGTGCAGGAGTATCTCAGTTTAGATGATCATAAACTAGAGGTAAGTGTGCATTCCAGACTGAAAACTGCACGACTAACCAACCACATATATACGTATATATGTAGCTGTGTTACTAGTGCACGGAACTGTGTTGTGACTAATGAGTGTGGGGTTGGGGGGTTTGATAGCTGTGCATTTCTGCCCTAGAAGTGTGCATTCCAGTCCTAAGATAGCACGAGTGACCAACTACATATATACGTATCTGTTGGGGATTTTTTTTCTGGTGAGGTAAGTGTGCATTCGAGACCTAAAGTGCACGACTAACCAACTACTTATATATATGTATATATGTAGCTCTGTTACTAGTGTGCATTTCTGCCCTAGAAGTGTGCATTCCAGCTATACGACAGCACGAGTAACCAACTACATATATACGTATCTGTTGGGATTTTTTCTCCGGCGAGGTAAGTGTGCATTCGAGACCTAAAAGTGCACGACTAAACAACTACATATATATGTATATATGTAGCTCTGTTATTAGTGTGCATTTCTGCACTAGAAGTGTGCATTCTAGTCCTAAGACAGCACGACTAACCAACTACATATATACGTATCTGTTGGGATTTTTTATCTGGTGAGGTAAGTGTGCATTCGAGACCTAAAAGTGCACGACTAACCACCTACGTATATATGCATATATGTAGCTGTGTTACTAGTGCACGGAATTGTGTTGTGACTAATGGGTGTAGATTAACCATGTTTAAATACAAACTCAATTACTATATATACTTAAACATATAGTATGTCATGGTTATGTCCAAGAGACCAAAAATAAATTAACTACTGGGGAAATCAAATCCACTGTACACACTATATATATACACTTTACAACCATGCTAGAAAAAGATGACAAGTAAACTGCGTTTTTTTCCCCTGTGCATTATGTGAATGTATTCAAGTTCTGGTGCAGTCCAGATCGATTACTGATGCTTGCACGGACTTCTTGTTGCAGCCGTCGTCCGTTCCAAGCTCCAGGCCAAGGGCCACGACAGAATTAGCAATGCACCGGGAGAAAGGTACCACAGCTGGACCGTCAAATGAAGTGACGCCCACTGCGCAGGTATCATTAGTGATCTGTAGGTCTGAGATTTTATTGTCGATTTGATTTGTGAAGATAGTGATTTTCTGGATTGATAAATTGTTATGTGAATGCATCTCAGTCTGGTGCAATTTTATTAACACGTACGGTTTATCATGCAGGTTCTACTACGTGCGCCCGACAGGACCACCATATCGGAGTCACCACCTCAGTTAAGGGCAGACCGCAAAGGCAAAATGCCCATCGATCGGGGGCCCGAGCCTGTTGGCTTTTTTTTTCAGCACAGCGTCGGGCTACCCTGCAATTCCACTACCGCCAATATATGTTGTCTGGATGTGGCTTTTTAATTCACCGCACATTGACCGGTAAGTAGAGTACACCACATGTAGGGATATGGACGCAACCTCGTAAACTGTGTATATATATATATATATATATATATATATATATATATATATATATATATATATATATATATATATATATATATATATATATATATAAAAGTAAAATCCTCCTAACAAATTCCCCCCCCCCCAAACTTTTGTAGTAAAACTTATTTGGTAAGTAAATGTCAAATGGAAAATAAATAAATAAATAAATTAAATAAATAATAATAATAATAATAATGTTATTACCTTGAATAAATAAATTATTATACTTTCCCTTAAATAAATAAATTATTATACTTTCCTTTTGAATTAGTATTTTCTACCTATAAATACAAGGGATTCTTCAATCAAAGAATCTCACTCATCTCTCTGCTTTCTTTTTGTATGAATTTTCTACAATTTTCTAACTATATTCTCACGTACTTCAATATGTTTTGCAGTTTATTAATATTATTATTAAAACTCATAAAATACAGTGAAATATTTAAAACTCATACCAGACGATATAAACTGCAAAACATATTGAAGTACGTGAGAATATAGTTAGAAAAATGTAGAAAATTCATACA